TCCTTGACTGCTTTCCCAGGCTACAAGCAGGGAGCTGGATGGGAAGCAGGGCCGCCGGGATTAGAACCGGCCCCCACATGGGATCCTGGGCATTCAAGGTGAGGACTTTAGCCATTAGGCCACACTGCCAGGCCCATCCCCTGCAAAATTTTAAACTTGCTTCCGGATTTTTGAGGTCCCTCAGATTGTCCCTCATGCCCCAAAATGGAGAGAAGGTCTGGGGATGAAATCATTAATGCCCCTCCAGAGTTCCAGGGGCCCCCAGCTTGTCTTTCATGCCCTAGGACAGGCAGAGGGTCTGAGGATGAAATCACTTATGTCCCTGGAAAATTTTTAAATCCTAAACTTACCTTCATAGGTCCAGGGATCCCTCAGCTTGTCCCTCGTGCCATGCCCCATGTTGGGCGCCATTTGCTCCGGCCAGCAGAGCCAGAGTAATGTGGACAGGGAGAGGGTAGGGGATGCAGCACTGACAGGAGACCAGTGATGGTACAAGTCTGTGAAGTCTCGCTTTATTGCTCCTTCATCTCTCCTTATACACTCATCCTGCCCCCATCCTCATTTAGCAGGATATTGGATACAGATGAGTCTAATCAGTCTAGGTGTTTTTAGCCACAAGTGCAGTTCCCATTCCTGCCCAGGCTAACAAGCACTAATCAACTCCTTAGCCCACAACAGCTTGTAATAGTTCCTAATAATTCTCTGTATATCTTACGTATCTGTTGTTATATTTCCTTTCTCATTTCTGATGCTGTTGAAGCATATCTTTTCCCTCCTTTTTTGATTAGTTGGGCTAGTGGGGAATCTATTTTGTTGATTTTCTCAAATATTCAGTTCTTTGATTCATTGATCTTATGTATAGTTCTCTTGGTCTCTATTCGGTTTATTTCCTCCTTTATTTTGATAGGAAATACTCTCCAAGAAATAGAAACAGGGAAAATTTTCTTAGAAAAGATGCCAAAAGTGCAGGCAGGCAATCACAAAATAAACAAATGAGACTACATCAAACTAAAAAGCTTCTGTACAGCAAATGAACAGACTGAAGAAGCAGCCAACAGAATGGGAGAAAAATTTTGCATACTACACAAGTGATAGGGGATAAATATCCAAGGTTTACAAGCAGCTTCAGACACCCAGGGACTGAAAAAAAAAGCCTGTGAAAAAACATTTTTCAAAAGAACTGATTCAAATGGCTAACAGACATATGAAAAAATGTACAGGCTCCCTAGTCATGGAGAGACAAATGAAAACCATATTGACGTACCACCTAACTCAAGTTAGTCTAGCTTACGTTCAGAACTGTGGTACATCTACTTTATGGAATATCACTCAGCCATTGAAAAGAATGAAATTATACCATTCGCAACTAGATGTTCCCAACTACAGACCATTATGCTCAGTGAAAGAAGTCAGCCCTTGGGCCCGACGTGGTGGTGCAGTGGTTAAATCCTCGCCTTGCATGCCCGGGATCCCATATGGGCGCCGGTTCTAATCCCGGCAGCCCTGCTTCCCTTCCACCTCCCTGCCTGTGGCCCGGGAAAGCAGTTGAGGACGGCCCAAGGCTTTGGGACCCTGCACCCGTGTGGGAGACCCAGAACAGTCTCCTGGCTTCGGACCGGCATAGCATCGGCCGTTGCGCTCACTTGGGGAGTGAATCATCGGATGGAAGATCTTCCTCTCTGTCTCTCCTCTCTGTATATCTGCCTTTCCAATAAAAAAATAATAAAAATAAATCTTTTTTAAAAAAAAAAAAGAAAGAAGTCAGCCCTGAAAAGACAAATGCCATATGTTCTCTTGAAGATAAGGAAACCATCCTACAAACTGGAATGTATAGTGATGGATTTATAGAGACTAGCATATCCAGATGTGAAGACAAAATGCAACATGCATCCCTACTTCCAAATCAAAGATGGACTCCCAGTAAAAGCGTCAGTCATATATAGAAAATGGAATGCTAGACTGTCTGACATTCTCTGTATTAGCAACGTCCAGTCACACTTAAGTAGAAGGCTGATGGTAATGTAACTCCTTATGAAGGCATGTACTGTTGTGGCAATATGGGGAAAATCAGTCATGGGATGGTAATTCGGGGGAGGGGAATGCCAAACTATATAGAATTGTACCATGAATTTCAAAATTTAAAATAAAAATTTAAAAATACCTATAAAGAAATGCTCAAAGCAACTTTATTCATCATAGCCCCAAACTTGAAATAACCTAAATATCATTCTTTTCAATGAATAAATAGCTCAAAAAAAAATGGTGTGGTACATCCATACCATGGAATACCACTCAGCTTTGAAAATGAATTGTGGACATACATGACAACTATAATGGCTCTCAAGGAAATTATTCCAAGTGAAAAGAAGGCAATCCTAAAGGGTCACATAGTGTATTCCATTTCTATCACAGTCTCAAAATGACAAAATTAGAGATGGAGAACAGACTAGTGATTGTCAAGGATTAGGGACCTAAGAAGGAGGGAAGATGCTGTGATCATAAAATTATTGCACAAAGAACCCTTTATCTTACATGTCATGGAAGACATGTGAATCTTTGTGATAAAATTATATCGATAAAAGTGTGTGTGCAAGTGAACATAGGTACAAACGTTGACATACGAATGATGTTGGAGTATTGTATCCATATCTGTGTTATTATACAACATTTATATAAAATGTTACCATCCAAAGTAATCAGGGAAAACTTTTGGGGGGGTCTTTCTTAAAACTATAAAAGTATAATTATATAAAAATAAAAAGTTAAATAAAAGAGGTGTAAGCATTAGCCTAGTGACTGATCCACCACACCACATATTGAAGATCTGGGATTCCCTTCCTGGCTTCAGCTGTGCACTGCAGCACTTTGCCAATGTGGGACTTCAGAGACAGCAGTGCTGGCTCAAGGGGCTGGGTTCCTGCCACCCACACGGGAGACTTGGATTGCATTCTCAGTTCTTGGCTCCATGACAAACCCATACCCTGTCATTGTAGACTTTTGGGGGGTAAGTTGGCAGATGGGAATTTGCTCTCATTGCTTCTTAAAAAACAATAAAAAAGTAAGTTCAAATAAAGATGATCTACCTATAACAAGAAATGTGATCAACATAGCAATCATAGTTCAGAAATCACCAGAGACTTACTCACCCAACACTTGCCTAGACACTGTGGTAGGTGATGAAGACCCGATGGCAAAAAAGCAGGTGTGGCCCCTGTCATCATAAACTTTCAGATTAGGAAATATAAAATTAGCTTGATGTACATGGAGAGTCATTCTCTCATCAGGCATATGGGTGAGAACTAGAATCAACTAAAATTTCAAACAATAGGATAAAGGCTAATAGCTTTTAGAATACTACATATGCTAATTAAAATAACTAGATCACTTAACACAATGAAAACCTGCATGTAACTTAGAGAAAACACCAAACAGAAAATCATATATTCATTAGCATTGTAATTAAGGAAAACTTATTTTATATGAATAAACGTTTATTGATTTTAGATGATTAGAAAGAATAAAGAATTGTGAGACAAATGCTTTCTAAACAGAATCTGATAGTATCATCTTTCTGAGTCATAATATTTTCATTCCTCTTTATAAAAGTATAGACATTCATTTATTTAAATTTTTACAAAGTCAAGAATCATCCAACAGGAAAAATAAGTAAAGCTAAAGTAATTTCAGCTTTTTATCCATGTGAAAATGGCTGAAATGGTGTCAGGTACTGAGGATGGTTCTCCTGGAGAAGTTGTGTGTGCAGCAGTTGGTTTCCACTCGTTTGAACAACTGAAAGAATGTCAGACCACTTCCTGTGAGAACCATCCTTGTGAGAACAAGGGCAGGTGGCATGGTGGGCAGAGGGAGTAAGGGAACACATTCAGTGAAGACAAGATGCTCTTTTGAATCACAGGGCATCAGAAATCATTTAGGAAGAGAATCTGACACGAAATTATTTGTGTTGCACAAAGTGTGATTAAGGCCAGACAGCTACTAATATTAGTATATCCAAATCTGCAGGGCACACAACAGAGTGGGGAGTCAGTAAATTAATTCAGTGAACTGCAAAGCCAGCAAGGCTAGGTAACAAATCATTTGGCCAAAACTGCAACCCTGAGCTGTCACAGATATAGGGCAGATCCTCCCTCTGGGAGTACAGCTGAAGGTATTCCTTTTGTTTCAGTCTTATCTCTTTTGATAAGAGGAATTATTCTGAAAACAATAACAAAACAAAGGAAGTTTTGCCCTCTCTTCAACAGTCTAGTAACTTCTCCTTGTCAAACAAGGAGACAGTTATCTACTTGAGTACAGGTTCAAAAGGCACCAGGTGCTACCCTCATTAGGAGTAGCCTAGCAGGAGAGTGAGGGAGCCCTCAGCTGCCTTGCCCTGAGGACCCGCCCAGCAATGCCAGGGTCCCTGGGACCGATCTCCATGTGGCAGTGCTGTGCACCCAACCTAGCACCTTTATAACTGACAGCCTCCCAGCTTGCTAAATATAGTCACAGAGAAAGGTGTTGAACAACAGCCTTTTCATTTCCCAGCCCAAGGTCTATCAAGCATTTTCATTAAAAAAGAAAGAAAAAGAAACTGAACCAATAGTCTTGTTTAAAAATAAAAAAAAAAAGTTTTTTTTTTCCAGGAGATACTGAACAGTAATTGCCATGGACCTGTAACAGATCACAGAATAACAGACAGGTAACAATCTGTCCATATAACAATATTTCAAATATGAAATTCATGGTTCAGGAAGAGACAGATAAATAAATAAATATGAAGGGGCATTTCAGAGAAGTTTCCTTTGCTTTCTCCCATTCCCACTCAACTCTGCTTGTGTGAAGTTTTGATTCTTACATAAAAGAGCCAAACCCTGTCGGGACCAATATTAGTCATTTCTGTCATTAAGCCCTCTACACAAAGAGAGAACAGGGAGAGGCATAACATATGATAGGGTTGCTCATTATCTCTCTAAAGACACCTATCTTTTCAAATAATCTCATTATTTAAATTCCATCTGGCACTTTAGTCTGTTCAGAGATATTAAGTTAGGCATGAATTACAAAACAAGCCCATCTGGGCTGCAGTTGGAGTTTTAAGCACTTTTCTTACATCTTTTTCCTTGACTTGGCACATCTTTGAGATGTAGCTTACTGAACAGAATCACAACATATCTGTGGTGGGGAAACATGTTTTTGCGACGATGCATTCCAATCCATTTGATACATCATTGCAGCCAGGTAATACCATCTTCTTCTTTGTGCTTTTTACCAAAATAATGATGAGGAGAGCTGCTCTCCCAGCATTTGCTAGTCCCATTCTCTCCTTTGCACAGGAAACTCCATTTATTCTTGTTTAATACAAGCATCCCTTCATGTCCTATACCAGGGATCCAGCTCGACTCTGAGCGGGCACCATGACAGGTACTGCACCAATTCGCTCCAGAGTAGCTTGGCTGATGGTGTAGGAGTGTGTGTGTGGAGGCCGTGGCTTCCTGTTGATTGAGCCATTGTTCTTGGACATGACCTGCGGGGATGACCCTCTGTTGGCTGTCACTACCAAAGTCTTAGGTTGACCTGGAACCAGATGGTTCCCATTTGTATAGATGGATGGGATATTGGCATTGCCTGAGTGGAGGGAGAAAGACTGGCGCAAGTCAGGGAAGTGGTTCAAAGACTCTGCATTCCTATGAACTTTGGGGTTGTTGCCCCAGTAGCGACTGTTGTAGGTGTTAGAAGAGGTCAATGTGTTGTTCTCTGAGGATGACATCTCAGTATGAAATGCTTTGGCAGAAGATGAACATTTAGGTGGAAGATCATCTTCTCTGGAAGAAACAAAAAAACATTATCATTAGAATTCTTCAAATTTACTTGAGATCTATTCTAGCCTTCTACCAGAACTCTTTCCTTTTTTTTAATGCTAAGAGTAATATGGGTGATACACCATTCTCAGGAGAGTATCACATTTGCTACTATGAAAGCAAACACAAACGCCACCAGATGGTCTCAGCTTAGGCATCCATTCTCATTGAGACAATGGTCAAGAAAATCTTCCTTCTGTATCTCAGTCTCACAGGGCAGAAAAGAGAATGCAATTCAATGGGGCCATCAATCAATGGAGCATAAGTAACTGAACACAACTAATGTGTGCCAGTGATGTCTGGGGTAGTGTTGAATCAGATGTCTGGGGCAGTGTTGATTTCAGTGAACAGACAGATAAAAATGGAAGGCACGTGTTCCAGAAAGCATACACAGGTGGTGAGATATGAGAGAACACAGAACAGACTGGAACGCCAAGTGAGTAGAGCAGGGTAAGAGAAGACCAGGCAAGCAGGTGCAGTCAGTTCCTACAGGCCATGTGACTCATGCAAAGGAGACTGAAGTCATGAAAGCATTTCAACAAGGACATGACCCGATGAAATCCGAGGCTAGTCCAGAGCCCCTGGATCTCTATAACATTCCATGACCCACGCTCTTTACAAGCCATTTTGATGTTGCTTCCTGAAGGTGCTTATGTTCTTTGTGTACAGGGACTGGTATGATCTCAAGATGCTCCTTTCTGTTATAAAGTCCATGTTAAACACATGTTTTAAACTAACTTTATTCCCATGGACCCTGGAGACATATAAAGGAATAAGGGAACACTTCATTTGTCTCTTCTTGATTGGCTCATCTTTTGTTACCTTTCATGACCCAGTGAATAAAGTTAGGTAAGAGTGAAGAAAAGCATGTAGGAGATGACACTATGGTGTGCGCACTTCAATGTTCTTGACCATCACAGTTCTAAGATTAGCAAAGAAATATTAACTTCATAAAGGAAGAGTAATATTGGCTATGCAAGACAAACCTTATTTCATTAGGAATTTCTTCTTCCTCCTCTTTGTTTTTTCTTCTCCAATAAAAGAATGCCCCTAAAATTAGTGCAATGCAAAAAATGATAATAACTGCACCAGTACCAATGGCTCCAGCTATTAGTCCAATGCTCCTGGGTTGGGCTGCAAAATATATTTAAGGTATTTTTTTAAAAGAAAAGAGACACACAGACAGAAAGGGAGTGAAATAGCATATAACTGCACAATCTACAAGCACACAGCTTACTGAAGAAGCTGCTCAAAATAGTTTATGTGTTGCCCAAAGTGCTCATGCAGTTAAAACTTAATTAACTTTCTATAACTCCAATGGCTAGGACTTACATATATTAGCTCTCAATATCTCTAGAATGAACAAGTCATTAAGCACTTCACAGCTTTAAGAGAGCAACAACTAGAAGATAACAGAAGACAGATGGCATGTTTTTACTCTGGCTGATCTGCCACAAATCAACCCTGGCAATCACAAATCAACCCTGGGCTAGCTCATGACCTTATCCCAGCTTCAACACTCCCTTTGCAAGTACTGTTCAAATATCCCAGAAATGACCAACCTGCCTGGCCATAGCTCAGCTGCTCAACAACTGAGCAGACATGAGGGTGTGTTAAAAATACAAGAAAATATTTCATTGGTCCTAAATTATTACAAAGGTTTGGCATCTATAGTATTATGACACAAGAACTGGTTTGAGTCTCATGATTCTGAGAAGGAAGATACCTTTCCACAATGATTATCATATTCTGGAGGCTAAAAAGCACATTAAGACATTTATGAGATATTTTAACAAAAATTAAAACCAAAAGATTTTTAATCAGTTTTTCAGAAAACTTCAAAACAAATAAGCAGGATTTTTCACTTCCAGGTTTAATATATATCTTAGTTTCGGCCCTAGAGTGGAAATCATAATTTCACCTACTTACGTGAAATAACCTGGAGATCCAGAAGACAGGTGCTGGTTCCGATGGCATTAGAAGCTACGCACTGGTACAAACCTGAAGACAGAGCACTTATGTTCCGGATGGTCACTGTCCCCTGAACCTGGTCTGTCACAAAACAACAATCAAAGGAAGAGTTTGTGTAAAGAATACCAAAGAATACAAGACTACAGACAGCTATTAATGTGTTTTGTTTGTCTTATTTTTGAGGGAGAAATTTGGTGTTCTTGAACATTAAGGACTAAAATCACCATATTACTTGGATGATCTGGAACCATGACAGATCCTTCTAAACAATGACAATCTGAAAAAAATTACTCGGTGGGGCCGCACTGGGATGCAGCTGGTAAAGCCAGTGTCTGCAGTGCCAGCATCCCAGACAGGCACAGGTCTGAGTCCCAGCTGCTTCACTTCCTGCCCAGCTCTCTACTAATGTGCCCAGGAGAACAGGGAGAGATGGCCCAAGTACTGGGAGATCTGGAAGAAGCTCCCATTTCCTTGCTTCAGACTGGCTCAGCTCTGGCCATTGTGGCCATTCAGGGTAGTGAGCCAGGAGATAAGAGATTTCTTTCTCTCTCTGTTTCTCTCTTTATCACTCCTGCCTTGCTCTGTAACTGCCTTTAAGATAAATAAATACATTCTTAATTTAGTCTGCACATTCCACATTAAAGCCTAAATGTTCATAATTTTCCATGAGGAATGGTAGCTAATGCTTATTCTAGAGAATTTGATATAAAATTTTAATTCTGAAAAAAATGCAGTGACCTTTACACTTAATGGAGACAATATAACATTATGCTTTCCAGTATTGCTTGTGAGTCCCTTCCAGCAACAATTACAATTGTTCGTGTTAGTTCATTCTTTCCAAAAAGCAGTTAACAACACAAGAATGGAGCTAACTTCAGGAGATGCCAATAAAGGAAACCAAGAGGAAGCAGGCCAAAGTGGGGAGTCTAGATTAGGAGCTGTGAAGCCGGGAGGGAAGAAAATAAGACAGCATAGGAAGAGCCTCACAGAGCAGTTTCACCGAAATTCCCACCAGGCAAGTGAGGAGCCCTTGAGCTGGAGTCAGCTACTGAGGGAGTCCTAAGCCTTGCAGGAACAGGCCTTACAGGGCTCAGTCACTGCCTGGGGACTGCATGGGAGAGGCTTGGCTCTGGTGTGAAGAAGTGGATCCTAAGGGGACATAGCCAAGGCTGTCAGGTAGGTTCCTTCCATTAGTAAGTCCAAACACAACATATCCAAGACTTTGAAGAAGGGTTTCAATAGTTCACATTTTACTAACTTGGCAACATTAGCATAGTTCATTCATTTCTATACAATGTGAATAACCTGCACTAACAAAAAGCACTGAACTGCATAAGCTGTTGTATGTAGCCTCTCAATTTACAACTACCCTAACAGGTATTTTTATTATGAATACCACTGAATAACTGAGGACACTGAAGCTTTATATTGATAATATCACACACCTGAACATTTGAAATTAGAGTAGGATGGAGGACTGTCTTCCCTCTGAAATCTAAGCTTCATTACTTCCCTCAGCCAGGAAGGATAACACATCCAAGTCAACTGAACCATTCAAAGCAGCTGCAAATTTAGAAGCAGAAAAACTTTCTAATGGCATAAGCAGAGAACCTTAAGTAAAATCTAGTATAAAGCCCAAATATGCCCGTGGCAACAACTGGAGCTACATGTACCCAAGGTTGACATTCTTTATATGAAAGTAAAATTTAGTTAAGTGGTTTCTCCTGGCAATTTTTCACTCTAACTCAGAAACAGGGGCCTGGGTGGGGAAAAATACACCTGGTCACAGTGGGAGAGTCTGTATCAGTTCATTCCTTGGATACATTAACATGTCCTGAGTGCCTCCTCTGTGCTAGGTATCTTTTAAGGATAATGACACAAGACAAACACAGTCCCTTACATTAATGAGAGAAGGAGGCAAGCAATTACAATAAATGAGGTAAGTGCCAGCCAGGAAAATGCGGAGGAGGGACATGGACTGAGACCCTGGGAAATCAAATGGACTGTGGGGTGGGGGGAGAACAAATAGCTGGTCCAAGTATCTTAACAAAATCACTGAAAGATTCAAGCATCAAGAATCCCCAAGGTTACTGCTTTGCCTTCAAACATAACAACACTGTGTTAATTGCATACTTGAATCAATCTGAATTAATTTCAGCAAGCTGGACAGGAAAAGGAGCGATTTAATTTTTGTGTTTTGGATAGCTCTTGTTTTGCTCTGTAATGGAAGCACTTAAAGGGTTAAATCACAGTCTACGGAGAATTTACTTATTCTGAGTACAGTGTTTGACAACTGAGGCTACTTGGGTTATACTGCACACACAAAACCCAATATACCCAGCGATTACCTGATTTGTATTTGTGTATTATTTGCTTCTCTTAAAAAAATAAAAAGCCAGCAGGCTTTCAAAATGCATTCAATGGGAGCAGCTCAGTGAATTTACCAAGATGCTCAGGCTAGTCTGAGAGTAAATGTTTTCTCCTGGCCCATGATCTATCAGATCTCCGAGGCCCTCATTAGTTATCCCTGCCATGTGCTCCGCTAGCATTCTTCACACTCTATGGCTGACACTTATTCACACTGACTGTAATTGTTTCCCTACTTGTCTCATTAAGGGAAGGCAACGCATTTGTCTTGTCACCAGTATATCACCAACCTCAGAAATTACCCAGCACACAGAAATGTGCTCAACAAATAAAGGTGTCCAATCCATAAATAAAGGAGCCACCTTCTCTTCTGTGTTAACTATGTATCACATAAACTGCATGAAGACCCTTAAATATCACACATGTAATTTTATAATAAGCTTGAATTCTAGATTCTTACTTAACTTTTCTTATTCCTTTATATTTGAGAGGCAGAATGGCAGAAAGAGAGGAGCTGAAGATTGACAGAGAAAAGAGAACTATCATTTGCCAGTTCACTTCCTAAATAGGCAGAACAATATCCAGGGCTGGGCCACGCCAGGCCAGGCCAGGCTAGGAGCCTGGAACTCCATCTGAGTCTCCCACAGTGATGGCAAGAGTCTAAGTACTTGTGTCGTCTTTCACTGCTTTCCCAGGCACGTTAGGAGAGCGCCAGATCAGAAGCAAAGAAGCCAATACCTGAACCAGCACTCATAGGATGTGAGTGCTGTAAGCAACTACTTAACCTGCTGCACACAAACACTGGCCCTGCGTTCCCTACTAACTAAAAATGAGAAATCTCAGAAGCAATATAACATGCACAAGATCACACAGCACAAGAAGTAGCGATCCAAAAAGAGGTCTGTCCAACACTTATAATGGCCAAACGCACACTTAATTTCCCAGAAGGCATTTAAAAACACAGTATCTAATAGGGTACATTTGTAAAATATGTCCTAACTGTAATGTTCCACTGCTGTTAGTATTATAAACTAAGCCATCTGCCTAAATACCTACTCAACACATGCCCAAGTTTTATCATGCAAGAAAACCGTAATTCTCTGGGCAATCAATCCACAATCTAAACATCTTGTTGCTGTTATTTCTCTGACTTTTCCCCCACAATCTCTGAAATTCTAGGAATTTGATCAGCTCACAACAACCTGGCAGTTTTGTTGACATGCCCCTGCAGATAATTTGAAATCTTAAACAGCTACATAGCATTCTGGCATGTAAAATGGAGATAAACAGTTAAAGATGATGGCATTAGAAAGGCTTCGGAAAAAAAATAAATAAAGGTGAAGTCACTGTTCTTCCCTTTGAATCTACAGACGCAGACACCATGAGCTGCTGCTATCAGAAAGTACTAACAAATGAGGTCGACATACCATGGCAGAGCTCACTCAGAATGCAATCAGGCAACAAGACAGATGCATTGATAGGAGAGGATTAACCAGGAACAAAACAGAGCTTGTTTACATGAACAAGGCAAAGCAGAGATGGGAGCAACTTTTCAGCAAATACCAGGCTGTCTGCAGTCACAAAGCATGCTAACAGGGCTCATTCCTCAATCTGTCACTTCTCTTGGCCTGCGCTGGCACAGAAGCAATTTGCTGAAATGAAGTTAGTGAATAAATGTTCTTTTGATCTTCTTTCTTTTAAAGAATGAGGGGAAGCTCTGTTGTGTGGAACCACAAAAATTGGAGAGCTCAGAGGACTTCAAACCCCAGTCAGTTTCAACTCACAGCAAGCTCTGTATGCCACACAACCTGTGCACCTGCCCTGCCATGCCCTTGTTAGAAACAAATCCAACTGCCTGTTCCACTTCTTCCTTTTTCATTAGTTCCGGAATCCCTCGAACTTCCCAGTGAATGGTGCATCCACTAAGAGTATGTGCCATAGAGTCAAACAGCCTGGTTTGCTGTTTTAAGTCCTTGCGACTAGTTTTATGTGGCCTTGTGGGTACTACTCATTCTTAATCTGTGTTTAGTTTCCTTGCCAATAATCTGCAGCTACCAAGTGCCTGCACATTCATTGCTTGTCACTGTGAAGACTAAATGACCTAGTGCATGCAAATGAGCTCAGTACAGTGATGGTAGTGCTTGCATGTGGGAATTCCTTCCTGGCATTGCTTGAGAAATTTACATATTTTTCTGAATGATGAGAAATACTAAGTCAAGAAATTTGTAAAATGTCTACAGCCTATATTTTCAATAGATATTAAGCTTCAGGTTTCACAGACAACAGATAAAAATCCATAAATCATAAATTATTATGGACTTTCATCTGATTTCTATACTTTAACAATGAAAGGCTATAACAAGCAGTGAATCATTTCTAAGTTTTAGAATTATTTTGTTAAAAACACAATGATAAATGCATGGCTTATTATTATTTGGTTCAACATACTATGACAAAATTGTATATTTTAATAATACACAAAAATGATGTCAACTTGAAATAGGCATTGCATGACTTAAAATTGAAAGCCAGAAATTTTAACACAAAATACCTACTGAAAATGTTTGAAAACTTATCAGATAACTCACTATAACAATATTTATATCTATGTTATAAATATATATATCAAGGTTAAAGAGAAATTTAAAACATCATATAGCATTAAGTACACTATCCAATGTCCTTTTAATCAAATTTCTGAGGTGTAGAAAGTT